TCAATTTAAGGTGGTATGTGATAATTTTTTTGGCTGGATTACTGCAATTTATAGGAAGCACACACATACAGAAAGAAGACTTATATGATCAGGTTTGACTCAGATTGCATCAACTATGACATCTCCTTGGATGATAGGGGAGATTTCAATGCAATTGATAGTAATGCAGAGCATCAAGGTTCCTCAATACCTAATCAGACTAGTATGCTTGAATTTTCAACATGTATGTCTCAATGTGGTTTAGTAGATATACTTGTGGCTGGTTCTCAGTTCACTTGGACCGGAGTTAGATCAAATGGTAGATTATGGAGAAGATTGGATAGATGCCTTTTTAATGAAGCTTTTTTGGATTCTTTTGATCAAGTCTTTCTTAAAAATCTGACCCAATCTCCCTCAGACCACTCCCCTATGATTATGCAGTGTAAAAGAGTTATTATTAGTGGACCTAAATGTTTTAGGTTTCAAAACATGTGGTTATCCCACTCTTCTTTTATTGATATTGTTGATAAACGCTGGAATGAGGGTTTCACAGGCAGTGCAATGAAATGCCTGGTTTTGAAACTTCAAAGACTGAAGAAAGACCTCAGAAAATGGAATGCAGAAGTGTTTGGTAACCTTTTTCTGTGAGGAAGAGGTTTCCAGAGCTGAGATTGAATTCCAAAACTTCCCTACTGAACATAACAGAGAAGATTGGTTCCAGAAGAAAGCTCTCTTATCTTATATGTTGTACTTAAAAACACTACATATATGAGAGAATCCTCCGCTCAATTGTAAGCAAGTTTATCATCTAATACCTAAAAGCACAACATATATATGATAAAGAAAATTCTCTTTCGAAAAGCACTACTTATGAGGGAAGAAATTCATCTGCTCAATTGTTAGCCGACTTATCTTCTTATCTTCTTATATACCTAAGTCTTTTACTCGATTATTAGCCAATATATCTTCATGTATCTAAAAGCAATACTAATGAGAGAAGAAATTCTCGCGCTCAATTGTTAGCCGACTTATCTTCTTATCTTCTTATATACCTAAAAGCTTTGCATATGGGAGAAAAAAAATTTCCGCTCAATTGTTAGTCGGATGATCATACTTAAAAGTACTGCATATGAGAGAGAAAATTATCTTGCTCAATTTTTAGGAATGTTATATTCTTATTTTCATATACCTAAACACACTACATATGAGAGAGGAAATTGTCTCGTTCAATTGTGAGCCGACTTATCTTATATGGAATACTTAAAAGAACTACATTTGAGAGAGAAAGCTATCCCGGTCAATTGTCATTAAACTTATCTGGTAATACCTAGAAACACTACATATGAGAGACAAAATTCTCCCGCTCAATTGTTAGCAAATTTATCTTCTTTAACTTAAAACCATTACACATGAGAGATAAAATAACGATCAATAGTTAGTCGGCTTATCTTATAACTAAAAACACTATAAGTGAGAGACAAAATTCTTCCGCTCAATTAGCCGACTTATCTTATACTTAAAAGAACTACATACGAGAGAAAAGGTTTTCCCGCTCAATTGTTAGCAAACTTATGATCTCGTACCTAAAAAGTATTACTTATGATCTAATACCTAGAAGCACTACACATGAGAGAGAGAAATTATTTCGCTCAATTATTAGCAAGCTTATTTTCGTATATCTAAAATTCTCCCGCTCAATTATTAGTCAACTTATCTTATATCTTATACTTAAAAGAACTACATATGACAGAGAAAGTTCTCTCGTTCAATTGTTAGCAACCTTATCTTCTACTTTGTAATAATAATATGGAAATTGCCCTAAAGAGGAGTAACAACTTTAAGAATTCCAAAATATGACCACTATGTTTTTCTTTCCAAAATAAGAGTTGTTACTGTCATGATTGAAAAGTATTGTCATTAATTATAATACATACTGTCATGTTGAATGCATAATACTGCAACTATTTGGCAGTCATGTCTAAAAGATGACAGTAAATACTTTCATCTTAGGGCAATTTCAGGAAGAAAAAACATAACAATCCTATTTTGGAATTCAGACTCTGTCTAGTTCCATTTTGAGAAAACTCCCATAATATATATTACTTAAAAACGCTACATATGAGAGAGAAAATTCTACCGCTCAATTGTCAACCGACTTCCGTAATACCTAAAAGCACTACATACGAGAGAGAAATTTCCCAACTCAATTGTTAGCAAGTTTATCTTCTACCCCGTAGTATGATACATGAAAGCAGTACATATGAGAGGGAAAATTCTTCCGCTCAATTATCAGCTGACTTATATTACCTAAAAGCACTATATATGATAGAGAAAATTCTTCCGCTCAATTGTTAGTCTGATTATCTTATCTTATCTTATACTTTAAAGAACTATATAAGAGGTAAAAAGTTCTCCCGCTCGATTGTTATCAAGCTTATCTTCTACTTCGTATTAATACTGTAATAATACTTAAAACCATTACATATGAGAGAGAAAATATTTTTGCTCAATTGTTAGACGGCTAGAGTAGTAATGAGATCATAGTTCATGTTTAAGTTTTGAACTTAAGTTAACACAACACTACTTTGTAGTAATGAATAGTCATATTTATGTAATTAAGTTTTATTTTAGTAATATTCTTGTAAAAAAACTCTTTAATGAACCATAGATGTTTAGCTCTCCTTAATTCACTCTTTAGCGCAGTGCCACGTGACCATTTTCACTTCAAAATACCGAACTTTTTCATTTTTGTTCCCATTTTTACAAAAAATATATCAAATTTTATAATTTTTTGTGATCTTTCATTTGAGATCAATATTGAATATATAAAAATATAATTTATTAACGAACTCTATAATTATACTTAAAATATCTATATTCAATTTCTAATCTATTTTGTTGTCAGAATAGAAGAAATTATTGTAGGTGGTCATTTTATTTACTTCACATATAAAATTTTTCATTATTTCATTAATAAATTATTTTAAATTAAATTTATCCATAAACCAATAGATTCAACTAATTCAACCACATTTCTCATAATTTCATCCATTTCAACAAATTTAACCAATTTCAGTACTACTAAACTGTCTCTAAAATCAATCAGCCCATGAAAGGAAAAATATACAAATGCTAAATTTATTTAAGAAAACTTTGTTAACGTGTTTTATGATTCGATGTGCACTGGTTTGATATATAAAAATCATAAATTAAAATCTAATGAGTTCTATTAAAAATACTTCGAGTTGGTTTATTTGGTTCTATTTTGAGTTGGTCTAAATTGAAGACGATAAGTATTTTGAATTTATCAATCCTACGATTAATAAAAATCTAATGTTATTTTCATTTTTTGTATTCTACTCCCTTCATTAAACTATGACAAAACTTATTCATTCCTGTTAAAATGAAAATGATAATGATAATGATAATCACATGGAGTGCTAATAAAATAAAACTTCAAAATCTAGTTCAATTTTTTTTATTCATTATTTTTAAGAAAAAGGGGCAAATTGATCACACAAAAAAGAAAAAACGGGGGATATAAAAATATAGATTTACCATATGTGGTTTGTTTTAAATAGAGTTAGAATCATTTTAACTACTTTTCATATAATTCTTTATTTACTTGATTAATGAAATATAATTTAAATTAAATTCATCCATCAATCAAAAGAATCAATTTCAACAAATTCAGCCACTTCTATCAGAATTTCATCGATTTCAAAAGGACCAGACAATTTAGCCAATTCCAGTGTTACTAAACTGGCTCTAAGTATCAAAATTAGAACATGAAAGTAACAATAGATCAGTGGCTAATAAAAAGGGACTTTTTGAAAAAAAAAAAGAAGACTTTTTATCAGTAAAGAATGAGAATTTTAAAAAAATCACATTTCATTAAAAATCAACATGTTGAAATAATATCTCTATGATAGTAACATGTATGTGATTCAAAACTATAAATATATTTGAATTTGATTACTATTGCGGGCTTCCAATTTTGTACATACAAACGAGACAGACTTATGAGCATGCTGTATTGATCAAATATTATTCTTAAAAAAATCTCTATAATGTACATAGTGATAGAAAGAGTACCATATAATTCCTTGACTTCAAGTCATTTTTTAGTCATGTTCATAGTATCATAGTTTTGGTAAGAGGAGTTTTTTACAAGAATATTACTAAAGTAAAACTTAATTACATAAATATGACTCATTACTACAACGTAGTTTTGTGGTAACTTAAGCTAAAAACTTAAACATGAACTACTATGATTTCATTACTACTCTAATAACTAGTCAAAATTTTGTAAATCATCTTTATTTTGGTCAAATTTATGTAATTATCTCTTTATTAAAAGTAAAATTGTATTTTTTTGAGCTGTTTCTTTTCTTTTTATGATCTACTATTACTTTTGGAATATTTGGGTATATATACAACTTTAATTAATTTAATTAAGTGTCGTTAAATTTATGCTATATATATTTGTATAAATAAAGGAAATAGCATAACTAACTAATTTATAAGGATAAAAATTAACGGTTACATATAGTAACTAGACTAATATTCAGGTCCGGCCAGGCCGGACCACTCCCCCCGTCCGGCCTCCTCCATTTGGGGGTCTTCCCGGTAGTATTCTTTGCTTAAAATTTTTGTGTAGGTTCCTCATCAAGTCTAGTTCATCCATACCAAATTTCAGCCAAAAATTCAATCGGGAAGGTCGTCAAATGATTTTTGCAAGGTCGTCAAATAAATTTCTCCTTATTCATGATCTTAATTTACCTTGGATAGGAGGATGAGCATGCACGAAATACAAAACTAGTCATCACCATAATTATGAGTATAAGCCTAGAAGTTGGAAATAATCTAAAATAATATAGTTTTAGAATTTGATACCAAATTATTTTATCAAATAATCTAATAAAATAATATCAACTCCTCATCTATGATTCTATGATCTAAAAAAATCAATCAGATCATCAAAATGATTTCAAAAAAAATCTATGAACGTGGATGCCTCTATTTTTTCCAACCCTTTGTTTCCAAATGGAATCAATAAACCAGCAGGAGACAAATCTAATGGCTCTCGAACACATTCACACTAAATATAATCCGGCCGATGGTGGTGAATATGTGAGTCAAAATCGAAAGCGACGTCGAGATGGCGGTGATGATGAGGAAGACGAAGATTCGTGGCTGGATCCGTCGAAGAGATACTCGATTGCTGATTTTGTTCCCGGTACTTTACCAGATCATTACATTAAACGTGGCTTGTATAAACATATCAGGGCATTCTTCGGAGAGTGCATAGAGCGACGGTGTTTGCAATCATGGCATAAAGTGCCCGGGGTGGACTTCGGGCATCCCATGTTGGAGGTCTACAAAGTGAAAATCGTAATTAAGGATGCTGAGAGGGCGAAAGAGATTTACGGCATAGACCCCTCTTTCAACACCCCCAGTTTTCTGTACGGTGCCATCAAAGTGTGCAAAGTACGCGCTACACCTGGATGGGAAAATAAAGGGGAGGCATTGTTCAGTATGGAGAAAGACAACCCACAACCCTTCAAATTCATAAATGGTACATATGAGATCCCCCTGTGCCTGAGGGATTGTCCCTATTCTGTTCTTTCGGACAGTGCAATGGTTTTTGCTTTCAAATTGAATGATGTGGATTTATTGTGTGCCTCAGCTCCAAATTACAATGAGGGTGATCTCGCATTTGGTAGCGAAAAAATCATTTGTGGGAGAATTTATTTTGGCCGCAATCATATTTCTCAGCTCAGAGGTTCATTTGTTGAAAGCAAACGGGTTTGGGGGTCTTACATAACTCCTTTAAACAAAGATGATGAAGATTTGATTTCTGTCAATCCCATATCTGTCTATGTGGACTACGGTTTGCACGATGGTGTATTGGCCAAAGTATTGTCTGTTCACATCAGCGATCCATCCGTGACCAATGTTTCTGGCCATATTTCTGCAGACTTTTGCACGCTGGGGCTGCCAACCTTCAACACCCTTCTTTTCCAAGGGAGTGGTGCCTTAGTTGACCAGGAAAATCACACAGTTTCCCTTCAAAGATCATGCATAGTTGTGCCATCCAATTCATATCTCCTCATTGAAGTCAAACTGCATGATCAACAGGGGAAGCTCTTTGTGCATGCAACTTTTCCTTTTATGCCTTCGGAAGGAGGAGTATTTGTCTCTGACCCCTCCAACAACAAAATCCAAATTCACGTCAAATTCTATGATTTTCCACCCGAAGAAATGGATATGAAGTAATGCATACCTTTCTCTAGCTTTTATTCATTACTACTTACTCTATTTTTCGGGTTTGCATAGGATATTTTAATCATACCAGGCTATCAGCTATTTGTATGGTAATGCATCAATGTCTTACTTGGATGATGATGCTACAATTCTCTACTGATTTGTCCATATTACAACACCAATATTTTAATTTCAATAACTCCTTCTGCGCCTAAGTTTACATTGTTCAGCATCAAAGTTTTCAAATGTTATTCAAAATGACAAACCTTTGTAGGCTTTGTTATGGTCATAGCCTGTGAAATTTTCCATATATCCTTGAAATATAGATTATTTTTTATTTTTCAAAAACAATATTTATAAAAAGCATATCTGGATGTAACAAGATATCAGTGTTTTCAATCCCGGATAGCGGAGCGTAGCGAAGAGCCCTAAAAACGCTATAGCGGTATAGCGGATAGCGGGATGACTACTATTTAGACTACTTTCCATATAATAGATAAGTAACTACCGGAAACATATACTTCATATAATACATTACATACACATGCATTTTGAATTCAAAAAGTATGATATATGCTAATGAAGGTTGAAAACATCACATTCATAAATCCTAAATTACTTAGAAATACTCTTTAGTTTCCTGAGCAAAACATAAGATGCTATTAATGACAGTAGACTCCATACGAGATGATAAAGAACTTTGTTGTACAAGATGAATAATGAGAAGAAGGAAGACTGCAGCAAAGGTTGATCTTGTAAAAGATGTTGCAACAGAATTAGAAGAATGAAAGAACTCAAGAAGATGAAGCAGCAAATTCTACCAGTGGAAAGAAGCGAAGAGGAATGCAAAGGTTGTCGTTCTTAAAGGAGATGTCATCGCAGAGCAGAAAGATATCATCGCAGAGCAGAAAGCATGAGATACGCAGAGCAGAAATATATGCGTTTGCACTTCTACGAATGTATAGAAGGGTTTTAAGTGGTTAATATCTTATTTTTAAAAGACAAATTTACCCTTCTACCCCAGCACTAAGTAAATAATACGCAGATAATATGCAGATACTTCCATTCGATCAATTGCAACGCTATAGCGTCCGCCTTCACCGGAATAGCACGCCCGCTAATGCGGCCGCTATAGGCGCTACACCCAAACGCGACGCTAGAGGTACTCTGGTAGCACCAACCTTGACCTCCGCTCCGCAATACCGCTATAGCGCGCAATAGCGCCGCTATTAACATCATTGCAAGATATCATATTTGCACCTAACAAGATATCATCTTGTTAGTCATACTTTGAAATTCATTCATGTATGAATTGTGCTTAGGAGTTTGATTTGGTTTTATCTATATTATCCAGAACTCATCGTAGGTAAAATCATAAAATAGAGAAAAAAACTTGCCATTGAAGTGAAATAATGTTGTGTCAATTTTGCGAAACCCAACACAGTTTTAGCTATCATCTTGTTAGGCATACTTTGAAATTCACCAAAACATGCAAGTTACTCCCTCCGTCCCACTTAAAGGTTCCCACGCGGTTTACGATGTTTGATTGACCATAAACTTAACTGATCCCTGTCATTAGTAGAATTATTTTTTAGTAAATAAAATTTACATATTCAGAAACTACATTAAAAGTTCTATAATACATGATGAAAAATTATCAAAGAGTTGGCACTTTCAGAAACAAGAGTTAGCAATGCAAACATGTTCCTGACATATTGCATAAAGATATCTATCATAGTCCCATTCTCTACTAATACTATTATCCATTAGTGACCTGTTTATTCTTTACAATAGTTCGAACAGTTTCTGTAAAAATTCAGCCAAATTAAGTCAAACCCATCATCAGTGTAACCCATACATAAATGGTGTGCTATTCTTTTTTCTTTGATTTAAATAAAATAAATTATATTTTTCCAGTACTAACTTTTCTTTAAATAAATTACTATCACTTTATTAATAAAAAGGACTCTAGATTCTTTTTATTCAGTTTTTTAACAGTTTGCTGTTTTTTTGAATGACTTTTGAAACTTTGATGCTGAAAAATGAGCATTAAAGATAGGCGCTAAAAAATTGACCGAAGTTAAAAATTGTTGATGTAATATGAGTTTTACCAGACAAATGCATAGAGACTCATTGTGTTTAAGTTTTTTTATATATACAATATGTATATGTGTGTGTGTTTGTATGTATTATGGAAAAAGATCACCTCAGGTTGTTTGAACTTGCCTATCATGGAACCTTTCCGGTGGATTTTTTTGATGAAAAATTTTGAGCTTGTTATTAATCAAGTCTTGTTTATGCACATCAAATTTCAGCTGAAAATTCATTCGAGGATGCATTCAAATAAATTATATAAGAACACTGCATGTTTCTATATATATATAAACAGCGCAGCGTATTTAAAAAAATAATTTGGCTGCCTTGTCGATTGATTTTTTAGCTGAAATTTGGGGGCATAAACTAGACTTAATGAAGAACATGATCAAAAAAAATTCATCAAAAAATTCCACCGGAAAAACCCTCAGATAGTAAGTTCGGACGGGGCTTCTTGTCAGAACTACCTAAGGTGATCATTACTTTATATATTATATGCATGTATATGGTGTGTACATGTACAAGTGTGTGTGCGCGCACGTTTGAGTCTATGTACGTAGTACTACATATATCTGGCACAATGGGAACTCATTAATGATAAGAACTCCATATAATACATAGTAGTACATATTAGTTTAATAGTACAATAGTACATATTATGTACTATTACCGGTTTTGAAATATTTTCCACAACTCTTAGCGTATTTAATAAAAAGGACTCTAGATTCTTTTATTCAGTTTTTTAACTGTTTGCTGTTTTTTTGAATGACTTTTGAAACTTTGATGCTGAAAAATGAGCATTAAAGATAGCCGCTAAAAATTGACCGAAGTTAAAAATTGTTGATGTAATATGAGTTTTACCAGACAAATGCATAGAGACTCATTGTGTTTAAGTGTTTTTATATATACAATATGTATATATATGTGTGTGTGTATATATGTATTATGGAAAAAGATCACCTCAGGTTGTTTGAACTTGCCTATCATGAAACCTTTCCGGTGGATTTTTTTTTAATGAAATTTTTTGAGCATGTTATTAATCAAGTCTTGTTTATGCCCATTAAATTTCAGCTAAAAATTCAATCAAGAATGCATTCAAATAAATTATATAAGAACACTGCATGTTTCTATATATATATATATATATATATATATATATATATATATATATATATATATATATATATATATATATATAAACAGAGCAGTGTATTTAAAAAAATCATTTGGCTGCCTTGTCGCTTGATTTTTTAGCTGAAATTTGGGGGCATAAACAGAGCAGTGTGGTTCACAGCATTTCTCTCTTCTCTGCACAACTCTCCACCACACAATTCCCACTTTCTTAATCACCGTGCCACTTTAATTTGGAACAACAATAAGGGACGGAGGGAGTATATTATATGCATGTATATGGTGTGTACATGTACAAGTGTGTGTGTGTGCGCACGTTTGAGTCTATGTACTACATATATCTGGCACAATGGGAACACATTAATGATAAGAACTCCATATAATACATAGTAGTACATATTAGTTTAATAGTACAATAGTACATATTATGTACTATTACCGGTTTTGAAATATTTTCCACAACTCTTACTATTTTCCAAATATATTTTATTGTTGCCTTAGCTCCATTCAATAGGTTTGACTGGTCATTTCCTCACAAAACCCTTGCATAACTTTGGTGTTGCACCTTCTCCCAGGTTCAAACCAATCACATGTAGTGTTAATATATATTTACATTTCATCCAAAAAAAAAAAAAAAACCAATCACATGTTTATGTCCTGTAAACCATGTAGTCAAACTGGAAATCCTATATAGTATCGGTTGCAGCCTTAATGATCGTAACTCATAAGTCGTAAAATCGTAACGTCCTACTTTATATATATATATATATATTATAATATATATATATATTATATATATATTTTGGTTCAGGTGAGAAATGCATCTAATGTGAGAAATGAGAATGAATCTCAGCCATTGGATTTACGAAGTTGCACTAAAATTGGCTTTATGTTGCAGTAATATTTAAATTTTGCACATGTTGCACTAATATTTGACGGCGTTGCACCGAAATAGCTTCATGTTGCACTAGACACGTGTAATACGGATTTTTCAGAAGTATTTACAGAAATGCCACCGTGCTAGATTGCATATTTCAGTGCATCATGAAGTGTCTTTTACTGCAACTTAGTCGAATCCAATGGCTGAGATTCATTCTCATTTCTCACCCAAAGGGTTCTTCTCACTTGAACCTTACCCTATATATATATATATATATATATATATATATATATATATATATATATATATATATATATATATATATATATATATATATATATATATACTCACAATTAACCCAATGTGATGCACAATTGAGCCTATCTGGTGCACATTTTGGCCTTGTTTGGCAATCGGCTGATAACTGTTAGCTGTTAGCTGGTTATGATTAGGGATGACAATGGGGCGGGTTTGGGGCGGGGGTACACTCCCCCATCCCCCGCCCCATGTCTAAAAAGTTCCCCTCATCCCCGCCCCATCCCCCGTTACTCCCGGACCCGCCCCATCCCCGCCCCACCCCATTGTCCCCCATGGGCGCCCACGGGTGTCCCCGTATAGATTTAATTTATCGTATTTGCATATACTTTTAATATCTTATTATAAATATGTGTAGTGCGATTTCAATGAGAACGATGTTTAACGTGGGAACACTCACATTTAATACAATGTGATACACAATATTCCAATGTGATACACAATAGAGTCATTCTAGTGCACATTTGGACTTTGCTCAATACAAGGTAATATAAATAATCACGGTGACACTTTTGAAAAAATCATGCTAGATACGAAAAAGATCATTGTGCAAGCCCATTGTGTTTCACATTGAGTGTAAATGTGGTGTTTGCACGTTCTCACGTTAAGCGTTGTTCTGATTTGATCCTAAACATATATATATCTACGCGCACACAGTAATATATGATACATACACACGCAACACTGAAGTATTGTGTTTGTTAAAAGTTAATACTACCAATTTTAATAATTCTTCATTTTGAATAAGTTTTGTGAATTGAAGACAATTAAAGTAAAAATATAGGTAAACATA